TTCGTCGCCGGTCCAAGTGATAACAACAAAAGTGCTAATTGAAAGTCAGTGCAATAACGTTATATATTTGGCGTAGGGCTGCAAAATTTCATGAATACAAAGCATAGAGAGTGAAAGAATTCGTTTCTGTAATTTCAACAGGGAAGTTTAGGTGGGGGTATAGCATTAAGGTACTGTTATCACTTGAAAGACAAAATTCAAATGATTTACTATTTGAACGTCGTTCTTCGAAAGAAATCTCATTTCCTTCCATGTACGCTTGGTTGAGACAAACAATGGTTGAAGTCCAATGATTAGCCTTGCAAGTGGTATCTAAAAAGCGACTATAAAATAAGGTAAATTAATTATAATGTAAGCTATCTCCATATTAGGAAACACTCTTGCATTCTTTGAATCCACTAGAATCTGAGAATCATAATGTGCTAGTTGTACAATCATGTTATTTGTCTTGTTAAGTGCTAATCTATCGGACAAAAATCATTACAAACTCTTGCCACTCTTTCAGATTCCCACTGCGTAGCATCACCGTCCACTTCCTCATAGTAGATTAAGGGGCCGCTAAGCAAACCATGGTGTTTCAGCACCTGCAGTGCATTGGCGCAAAACAGCTCTAATTTGTCAGGTCGACTATAGTATATTCGAACAGTAACAAATATACCACGGTTCGTAGGCATATAAAATAAAAACTAATCTCGGTATTATGAATTTGCTAACACACTACTAGTTTTGTATACCATCGGCAAGAATAACAGTTAACAGTCATTTCTCTTGATTTACGCGGCGGTCAATCAAAAAAGTTAATGGATACAAGTTAAGTTTTCATAAAATCAGTTAAATGAACCACGAGGAACTAATCCAAAAGGCAAAGTCTACCACAACATCAAATTGCACCAAGAACTCTATCATAAACGCTGCTGAGCCAAAAAAACCATAAGGAAACTTTGTAGGTCTTTCAAGCATATCCCTAATCCTAGCATTCAGAGTTGATCTACTACTGTAATAGTAGACACTTAATAATCCTGTTTTTTGAGAAAACATGCGCTTTTTCTTCACTGTAAACAGGTCCGCCCAGCTTATCAACTTTGGCGTATAGACTTCAAAACCTGCAAGAATGTCTGCGCTCATGATCCTGTGCTGAAGATCGAACTCATCTAGATCAATCTCCAATCAACATGGTCATAGTGCAAAAATATTCGTAAGATGAAGGCAAAGCAAAGTTTTAAATAATAATCCACGGATTCCGCTCACCCAAACCATCATGTGACATTATCAGGACTAAATGGAACCAAGAATGAAAGAGTATGAAACAAAGATCTCTGAAAAAAAGAATACTGGTAAGTAGCTCTCCTCAGTTCCATGCAAAGTGATCATCCAGCAGTCCATACGAAGGAAACGAATCAAAAGGATTTTCGGACTAAATAATCCATGATGCTACGGCTGCCAATAACGCACCAGGCGATTGTAAAATATATCCTTACGTCACTGTTTCAGAATTGTACACCTTAACCATGCATAGAAAATACGCAACTGATATGAACTTACGCGTGAACGTACAAAGGATAGTCAAAATCTGGTCCTTCTTACCACTGAATATAGCCCTAGAATCTAAACAATGGTACATCAGAAAGCATTGAAAGCTGCACTCTAGAGGCATTCCAGGTTAAATCTTGAATGTCAAACGGGATTAGCCTAAAATCTGAATTCCCTCACTTTATATGTAATTTTTACCCTTATTCATTTATTCATTATATATGTCCAAGAAAGAGCCGGAATCTTCTGGTTAATGTAACAAACTGTTTACTGGAAATGGAGAAGGTAAATTTTCTTAAATTCACACTTAAATTTTTTAGTATTATATATGC